CTGAATGACTGACTGACCCACTGAATGACTGACTGACCCACTTAATGACTGACTGACCCACTGAATGGCTGTCTGACTGACTGACCAACTGAGTGACTGACTGACTGACCAACTGAATGACTGACTGACCCACTGAATGACTGTCTGACTGACTGACTGACCGACCAATTGAATGACTGACTGACTGATTGACCAACGGAATGACTGACTGACTGACTGACTGAGAGACACTGATAGACTGACTGACTGGCTAACTGAGAGACACTGATAGACTGACTGACTGACTGACTGACTAACTAACTGACTGAATGACTGACCAACTGAATGACTGACTGACCAACTGAAAGACTGACCAACTGAAAGACTGACCAACTGAATGACTGACTGACTGACCCACTGAATGAATGACTGACTGACCAACTGAATGACCAACTGAATGACTGACTGACTGACTGACCAACTGACTGACTGACTGACCAACTGAATGACTCACTGGGAGTAGCAATACTTTGAGTTGGTTCATGCTATAGAAACTGGGATAACCTCAGGCAGTGCAGGCCACTTAGCAGAGTCCTGACCCTTTTCATAAGTTTGCAGTAGAGAGCAGCCAAGGCCAATCTCTGCGAATTTCAGGTCAAAGGTAGCAGCTTGTCAAAGCTTGAAAGACTACATCTACACTAATAAACTTTGTCACATGAAATGCTATTTACCATTTCCACTGTTTGCATCAGTCTGATTAGCATGTTCTTCATTTGCATCTTTTTCACTAATTTCTGTCCAGTATTCAACATCTTCAGCATCTTCATTAGCATCTACTGCTTTCTTCATCTGTTATGTTGGTAAAAGAAAAAAAAAAAAACATGACTACACAGACTATGCAATGACATTATTGATAAGCTACATTCAACTAAATATGCCACATTTACACAAAATACATGCTTTACAAAGGTTTTTTTCGCAAGCACAGGAAGCTAACAAGTTATCTCAGAAGCACCAGTAAGAACAATAAGTACCGACCACTTGAAGAAGAGAACACATTTACCGGTACAATCATTATTTGTCCACAAAATGATGTAGTCATTTTTACCAACCTCTTTCATTTTGAGCAGCAGTTCACGTAATGGCATTGTTGCCTCTTGTTCTAACATTCCAAGGTCTTCTTCCTCATCATGGTCTTTATCAAGCCCTGCTAGTTCTTTCAGTTCTGCAAGACCCTGAAAATGAACAAAACCCACATTAAAACAACCTCCAAACATGAGCCAGGTTAGGAAAATTTTGGAAGGTATGTTAACTAAGTATACAAATTTCAGCTGAAGCTGACATCCTTTCAAATAATCATGGCATTTTTGCAAATATTGACATTTCTATCTAAATTATTTGTGGGAAGAGTAACTTTAGAGGCATAGATCTTATTTATTGTATTTTTTACCAACCTCCTCACTGATGATTTTTTGATCCATTTCCAAAAATGAATCAATCATTGACTGTTTAATCTCCCCTTTCTTGTATGTCACTGTTTTCTTTAACACTTCTGGGAAGTACTTTGCTACATACTGTGCTACCTCTGACCCTAACCGAGAAACACAATGGAAGTTCAGAGGTATGTATAACCTATGAATAAAACGATCCGTACAAAATGTTTTTATCATTATATTACAAAATCCAAATAAGTTTTCATATACCCATGAGAAACGTGCTTCTTCAAATCAAGTAACCAGTAACCTACTCATAATCCATTGAAATAACAATAACCCTCATCTCCATTTAAACTAAAACTGAGATCAAAGTCTAGTTAGTCAGTTATACTCCAGTCACAATTTGAGAGGTTTGAGGTTTCTCTTGTGATGAAATAACTAACACAATTATTATTTCGTTCCCTGAGGTTTTCTTTTCTTTTCTTTATTTTGTCTCCCTCCCACCTCACCCCCCTCCCCCCCTTGTTATCAACTCTCCTTGCCCTACAGATAACCTTCTGAAATTCCCAAAGTCACACTACAGATTTTAGGATGTATTTTACCTCCATGGCCATCATAAACAGCGAACAGTGTAGAGTTTTCATCAAAATCAAGCATACATGTATGAGCATCCTGTACAACAAAAACAATTCCACATCAAAACTAACATTTATGGTTACAGATTATGCTGAGTTCAGAATTCCTCTTACCGTTCTGTTTCATATCGCATACAATCAGTGAAACCACATTTTTGCTACATTGTTTCGATGTTCAAATTACATTACTTGGTTATTGCACCAAAATAATCGCCACTCCAGCTATTTAAATAACAATTAAATTGACTAAGAACCAGTGCAGCAAGGGTGCAAAGGATTTTATTGCACGAAATATTTTTTTTTGGAATGTTGGTTCTCCCTGAAATTGACATCAATCTTCGCTCGATCTGTTATATGGAACAGAGCGGTTCGTTTCCACTTCACGTTAGTTTAGCGGTCCAAGTCGAATAAAAAAGAGCTGCAAAGAAGTATCTTCCTTTAGCTTGACAAATTTAAAATTTGTTTTTCAAAAAAACGAAACCATCGCATTTCTGTCTCTTGGGACTCAAATGGTTACAAATTATATTTTATTTGCCGATTTTCATAGGGGCTGGTTGTAACCTTCATACATGTCATTGGCCTTAGTTGAAGAAGGCTACTGTGACTAGAACAATGTGCCAGTACGGGTACATGATCAACTTTAAACATTCCTCACTTAACCCACGCTTATTTAACTCATGCATATGTTTTTCCGTCGATGGTCAGCTCATTCAGCTGTACTGTACCTCCATAGTTACACGCCATCCTTGCATACAGGACACTCCATAACTAACATCTCCATTTTCACTGCCTTCAGAAATCTTCTCTGTTTTTGGCTTAGCCAGATAAGCACCCATGCTTTCTTGAAAATTTAGTGAATAAAGAATGGGTCTGCGACCACGAGGCAAAATTGTGCTTTGGTGTAGATTAAAATTTTTGACCTCGAAGTGTGCGGCACAAAACTCGCGGGCAAAGATGCTCGGGAACTTCCTGTTTTGGTATTTCTGCTGTGTCAATCTGTATTGCGGGCTCAGTTTAAAAGAACTTTGTAAATTTTACCATAATCTGAAGCGTTCATTAAACGCGATGAAAGGAATATTTTTCGTAAGGCTTCGCATGTGAAAGCGTCCAAAATATTGAAAATAATTTCCTTTTGTTTAAGGTTAAAATTAGAGGGCGAAATGAGGGACGAAGTGGAAATTTCTGGACCCAAGGGAAACACGCGTGTTCACGCGCGTATTTAGGCTTGCGCAGGCTTGCGCTCAATGTGGTGTGATCGGTGTGATCGGCGTGATGTGGTGCTAGGTCCCAGTGTCCAACGAATCAAGTAGCACTTTCCTCAAAATAACTTAGCCCTCGGGCAAGTGAAAATGCCTCCGGATTCGAAAGATCTGTCCTCCTCAAAGGAAAAATCTCCTTCGTTTCATAGATTGCATACTACAGATTTAGATAGAATGAAGGGTATTTATCTTGGAGAAGAAGAGCTGAGGGGCTTTGACAAATATAAGGTAACTCCCTTTTGATGTAGGCTTGTTGATCGGTAGCTATTGTAAATCTGTTGCAATCTCATAACTTTTTGATCTCTCCTTAATTTAGTACAAATCAGAAGATACTTCACCTCTTTCAAATTACATAACTCATCCATTTTGGAATTTCGTCGTTGAGGTAGGCATTGGATTGTGGACTAAAGTGTTTTTCCGTGAGACTTTTGCTCGAGCAAGCATGAAATACAGCTCCCTTATTTCACGCCGGTAAACATAAATGACAAATCAGCACGTTTTAAGAGCTCAAAGTTTGCATCTGTTTTTAACAAGAAATAGCTGAACTCAGAATAGTGGTAAAAAAAAAAAAAAGTCTAGTCAATTCTGTAACTAGCAAAATACGATGGCACTCATGCTAATCTTTGCCATGACCTGGGGGAGTGGTATGTTTGGACAGTTGATCCTACTGGGGCTGCTCAGGGATGTTTACTAACCTGTCAGCTGCTTTTAACTCTAGTGACTGTTTTTAAAGAAATGATTATCTTTTATAAACCTTGGTTATTTCTTTTTTGGTTAGATAAGAAATGTTTTTAATCTCATTGTTTCCTTGCTCACTTTAAGTTTGGTTATCACTGGCAGACATTTTTTGAAGTCGTAATAAAATGTGATGGATCATGTCCCTAGAAATAAACTGCAGTCAATATTTTAAATGGGTACTGCCAGTAGAGATCTTGAGTTGATGCTGAAATTTTCAAGTATATTTAGGCAACTTTTCACACATGATGTTTGAGTATTTTGCTCTGTGTCAATATTCCAGTTATGAATTACAGTCACTGTTGCTACTTGTCAACATGGCTACTGACAACTCATCCACAGGTTAAGTAAATGTGCCTATACCCTTTGTCAATTCATCAGCTTTTCTCGACAACTTGCCCACTCTCTTGGGTTAAATGTGAAAAAAAGTCAAGAGACATGTTCAGACGTTGATGAAAAGACTTTGGGCAAGTTGACCAGAGGGTGGGTGAGACTGACATTTGAAGAAACTAATCATAAAATCTCTGCAAAACTCTCTGATAATGACAAATGCGTGATACACTGAGTGTGAAAGGTCTATTTACTAGGTAAACTTAATTATACCCGGCTGGCAGTGGCATTTATTTGTTAACTTCCCGTATGGTCCACATAAAAATAAATTCCTCTGCGCTCGGCCTGTTAAATCTTCTTCGAGCATGCGCGGCCTGTTACTTAGAAACAAGTTAGCTCCCAGTAGTACTCGGCCAACTTTCAACTTGAAAGATACCATAACCATGATTGTGGGCTCACACTTGGTCTTGCTATATAGCTAAATAGGGTGCGTGTGCATAAAAACGTGTTTAAAACAGGTTCTGGCTGGTCTTGCAAATCAGATTATCCACAAACTTGGATAATTCCCAGTCGCATGCGGGGAGACTTTATTTTTACGTGGACCATAGGGGAAGTTAACAAATAAACGCCTCTGCCAGCAGGGTAACTTAGTTAGTCTCCTGTTGAAATAGAGAAGTAGCAATTCAACAGAATGACTGGTCTCAGATGACCCAATTTCAATGATGTGAGCCCATAGAACATTTAACTTTCTCATTGGATTGTTACCATTGCGACTAAATATTGCATCTAAATGAAACATTTTTCTGAACTCCCCTCGTAATTGTAACAGAAACTGTAGACATAACATAATGGGGATTTGTCTACACATTACTATACTTGGGGTGACTGTGGTGTTGTTTTTTTGTCTCAGCTTTTTCCCAGGTGGCTAGCACCAAATGTGCTCACATTCAGTGGCTGGTCTTTCCTGTTTATGATCTATGCTGTGACTTGTTATTACGACCCCCACTTTACAGCAGCTGGTGAAAAGGACAGGAGTAAACAAATCCCATCAGTATGGTGGCTTGTCTTTGCTGTGTTACACTTTGGAGCTCACACTCTAGATGGTTGTGATGGTAAACAGGCTCGGAGAACTAACAGCAGGTGAATGAAAAATCCCTACAACATACACAAACAGAGAACCAACTGAAAATAAGAAAACTGACCTTTGTTTAGATCCTTATGGAGATAATTTTTTAATATTTGAGATCTTTAGGAATTATCGATAGATAGCACTGGAATTTTCCAAAATCAACTATTACAAATATCTTTTTGTATGTATGAAATACAGTGCATGTGATTGTCATCTGGTATGTCCATCTCAGGACAGTATTGTTCACTTATATATCATTCTTTAATTATATCATCAATATTATTTCCTTAATTTTCAGTTCTCCTCTGGGTGAATTGTTTGACCATGGTCTGGACAGTTCAGCAGCATTTCTTATTCCCATAAGTTTGTTTTCACTCTTTGGTCATGGCCCTCACAGTGTCACTCTGTGGGAACTCTATCCACTGATGTTGGCCTGTTTGCTTGGATTTTATGTGGCTCACTGGGAAAAGTACAATACTGGGACATTATTCTTACCATGGACTTACGATGCCAGTCAAATAGTAAGTTTTTTGCAATGCTGTGGGTGTTAAGTTAGAGGAATCTGGGCATCACTGAGAGAAAAATTATATCTATGCCACACCCCTGATGGCAAGTTGTAGGTGATGGAG